GGATTGGGTAGTGTTGAGTGACATGACTATGGAATTCTGACCTCTCTGGAGAGATCTGCATCCCATCATCAGGTGATTGATATTGAAACCTATGGTTAAAGCAATTTTCAGCTATTTATTTGGAGCCCACATGGTTAAGTGCAAAACTTTGTGTTGTCTGCTTATGCTCCAAATATTTATAAGGTTTCATGAACCACTTGTGCTGCCACTTCTAAGTTCCGTATCCAAAAAGAGGAGAGAAAAAAAAGCCCTTTCCCACAGGAATTCTGCAGTTGAGAGGGTGAGGGTCTTGAACAGGACTAGCGAGGATACATGACAAAGTCACTGAAAATTTGAATTCTGACCCTAAATTTGAAAGATCAGTTAAAATGCCAGTTCAGTTTTATTTGAAGCAGTTTGCCAATTATTGCCGAAATTGTTATCTTGGTGGTAAAAACATTGTTCCTGTCTTCTTGGGGTAAGAAATAGAGAAAATCTAAAGCAGTGTTTGGGTCAATGCAGGTTTTTCAGTGCCTAGGTGCCTGGCACTGCACTGAGGTCTATGCCAGGTCTCACCCACTTGCTCCTCATGTGTTCTGGATGAGCTTTTCCTCTTCTTTCTCCCACAAGATAATCCATGTGACATTTTTGCCACCTGAGCATGCCCCCTTGCTTTTGGATGAGTCTGCATCTGCTCTTGTTTAGACTTGAAAAGAACCAGAACAAGGGCTGTGAAAACCAGGGAGAAACCCCGTGAGGACAGTACCAGCCATGCAATCCTGAATGGTTATGGACAGTGGAGTTGTTCATGGGAAAATGGGAAAATGTTGATTGCTTCCTGGTACAGGATGCTGAAACTTTTCACTAAGAAGGTTCATTGCTGCTTCAGAAATTTTTGTTATTGTAATTGTTATAGTTTTGTGGCCCACAGTAGCATTTCAGGCTAAAAAGCCAGGCCCAGGTGTAGCCCAGGTGAGTTGGGACTCTCAGGGAGGTACAGGTTGTGTCTCAGCAAGATCCATCCTCACCATCCTCCTTACCACTACCAGCAGCTAAATAGCCTTTCTCTGGCTATTTAACTGGTTTTACTGAAGAGATCAGGTTGAATAACAAAATTGGGAATCACCTTGGAATAGTGGTTTAGGCCCACAGGAAACTGCTGAAATGCAAGTTGAGTTATTATTCTGATTCAGACAAAATCGAAGGTTTAAAGAAATGTTATTGCATGTTTTCAGGAAAGGAGAGTAGAACCTGTCTGGATTTGGTTTACCTTCTATTTCAGTTTTTCAATTTTGGAGGTTTTTTTAGTTCAGTTTGTTTTTTTGTTTGGATTTTTTTTTTTGTGGGGGGGAGGAGGTGTGTTATGGTTGGTTGTTTGGGTTTTTTTTTGGGGGGGGGGGGGTTCTTTGCTTTTTTATTATTTTTTTTAAATACCTTGCAAAATTTCAACTTTATCCCAGTTTAGAATGGGAGAATTTGTTGAAAATTTGGCTCTTTTTTTTTTTCCAGAGGAAAATGATACCTTCTGCCACATCTGCACACCAGTGGGAAAAGCACACTACTTACAGGGCTGGCAAACACCCTGGTGCTGCATGAGCTGGGGGAGACTGCTCTGCCTTGCTGTTGTGGAGAGATACCCAAATATAATCAGGATAATAATATAATCAGCCTGGCAGGCTCTGTGGTCTGCCATAGGAGTCACTTCCAGTGCAGAGATTAGAAGTTCAAAACCGTGATGGCATTTTCCTCTTTGCACGATCCATGTACATACCTCAGAATGCCCCAAAATATAAACCAGAGACCCCCCTGTCAGTAATAGCCTGGCGAAAGTGGTGTTCAATCCATAGAGCTGGAGGTGTCTTTACCACTTCTGCCTAGGCAAGGAAGGCAAATCCCAGGTCTCTTCCCCAATGCATTCCCTAAAGTCACAATATTTGCTCAGATTGCAGCTCATGTATCAGCAGAAGGGAGAACCTGAGTTCCACAAGTGACCCAAATCTGAGGAGGATCTTTAGCTTACAAGGTCAGAGCAGAAGGAAATCACTATCTTTGAAATCCAGCACTGGTGCTAAAGGACTCAGCTTCTTTTCCCATTTGAGCTAAAAGTTCTCCCTGTCATTTGCAATGTGGCATCCCTTCTGTTAGCTCATGGAAAGATAAATCATAGGGTATTCAAAGGGGAAGGTTTTAATGAAGAAGCTTGAACTGCTTTAAGAATTGTAAAAAAAAAAAAATTAAAAAAATTACAGAACTATTACAAGTAACAGATGATTCCCGAGTGTTTCCAGGGCTGAGCTTGCTCCCATGCTGACTTTAGCTGCACTCTTGTGGTTTATCTTCAGAGCAGTTTCCTTGAGAAAATAATTGCAGTGCCTTTACTCCAGGGCCATGCATGTCCCAGATGAACCAGGCCTCTTTTAGCACATCAGCATCCATTGTCTGGGTGAATTAAGTGCTGTGCTAAATTATGGAAACTCTGCCATGCCAGTCCACATCAACGGTTGTTTCAGCCTTCCCCACCCAGTCTCTAATTTTTCCTGAACAATAAGATGTGAATCTGGAGACAGAAATGTTCAATGGGGCATAGAATGACAGGGAAGCAACGATGGAAAAAACTGTGTGTGTGTGTCTGAATGTGTGTATGAGTCCAAAGCCAATGACATGGTCCCTCTGAGGGAGTGGGACATGACTGGGGAGGACACTGTGGAAAAGCAGCTCTTTCTGGTGTCCATGAGGAGCATGCTGCTGTGCTTGGCTCCGGGGGCAGTGCTGGGAGCAGATACACAGGGATCAGTGCTTGCCTGTGGGGGAGCAGAAGAAGGACATCTCCCCACATCTGAGCCACCCAGCTCCTCAGCATGGAGGGGCAGGGAAGTGAGGAACACTTCCAGCATTTGGCTCTACCAGGCAGGACCAAGACTCCCACCATAGGACAAAGGGCTGTAGCTCTGCAACAGCACCTGGAAATAGCTGGGTAACTGCAGAGAAGGAGCAAAGAGTGGGGAAGCTTTGCCTGAGCTGCCAAATTGACCTGCCATGCTCTAATTCTGTGCTGCTCTGAGCAAGGACTCAAATCCTCACGTGTCGGGCATCAGCCAAAGAAGAATCTCTGGGTGAGCTCAGCCTGTGTCACAGCTGCCCATTGCTCAGGTTTTGACTAACAGCCACGCAGGGCACCAGTGCAGCTCTCACCTGTTGTATGGAAGCACTGCATCACTCTCTGAGCCCACACAGCTGAACCCCCAAGCCACCTGCTTGAACTGGGTCATCATCCATTTGTGTTATTCTCCTTCCCCCCACATTAACAATAGGGCAGAAATGAGCCTTCTTACTTGTTCTCTTTCCCTCATCTTTCCCATGCTGCTTCCTGGGTTTGAACTACAGCCTGCCTCTAACTTCTAGGTGGTCTTCCAACCCAGGATCAGCCCAGCCCTACTTGACTTTGGAAAGCAAGCAAACCCAGTGTGCTTACCTCAGCACAACTCACATGAGTTCTACTCCATGGCTTTACCCTAATGAAAATTCTTTTGTGGTTGGTGCAATTTTTCTATCTGATCAGCAATATTTGATGTGTGTTGAAGGCAGGTTCAGCTAGGGTGAAGAGCATATGTCGCTCTCCTAAAAAGTAATTTGGGTTTTTTTGGGGGAGATATAAATAGCTGACTTTATTGTGCTGGTCATGCACGCTAGTGCTGGCACGAGGTGCGCAGCATTGAGCTCCAAAGCAGCGATGACTAGTGTGTTCTCATTTCTTTGCAGAACTTTGCATGCGATGCCTGATATGGATTTTTATTTTGTAACTTGATTGCTACAGAGATGCATTCATCAAACACGATTACTGCCATATGAGCCAGTCAGCAGGGAAGGTTCTTCTCACCCTTCTGCACACCCTGTTACACTGAGTCCATCTGCACCAGGGCAAAATAGAACTTCCACAGCTAGATGACTGCTCCAGGTAGAAAACATCTAGAGCCACTGAACTTCTTTATGCCTTTCCTGCCACTGAACTTCTTTATGCCTTCCCTCCCAAATCCCTTATTGGTCTATGCTGTACCATGTACTATGAGACTGGTTAGTGAGGGATGGAAATTCATTTCCATTGATGTATGGAAAGAGAGCAGTGTGAGGCTTCAGACATTACAGGTTTAATTTTCTCCGCTTCCCTTTTTACACCAAGACTTCAAGCCAAAAAATGTGACAGAAAGCAGTCGTGTACTTCACCTTAGTAGGTGGATAGATCCCAATTCTCAGTCTTGTTCTTGTTCACAGCTCTCTGTACACACAAAGAAGCTCATCTCACTGGGCACATTGCCTGGAAGCACAAACGTTACTCCTCAACCTAGATATCATGGTCTCCATGCCATGGAGGTTTATGCTGGTCGACATGTTCCATGTGCCTTCCAGTCTCTGCTGTAAGGAGGGTGGAGGTTTGGCAAGGGGATACAAGCACGTTGTTGAGAGGGATTGCAGAGGAGCCAGTGTGAGGGGAAGATTGTGGAGCAGACTGAGAAGGGAAGTGTGGCCCAGCACCAAAACTAGGGCTAATAAGTACTGCAAAGTTTCAATCCAAATCTGTAGGGGGGCAGCAGATCCCATCCAAGGAGATAAAGTCCAAAGTTCACTGTGGAGGGAGACAGAGGGGACAGTCGCTGCTAGGTAGCTTATGTGGCCAGCTGGCAAGGGAAATCAATGGTGTATCTCCCAGTATCCCCTAGAAACACCAGGACTCAGGAGCCTATACCTGCTAGGGTGTTGTTGAGAATTAACTATAATTATATCAGCTTCCAGCTTTATATCACAGGAATTCCTCCATCTTCCTTTCCAGGAACCTTGGAGGCTACATGTCCCTATGGTCCTTGAGGCACGAGGGGCTGGCGAGGCCGGAGCAGTGGGCTTGTGCCTCGGCCTGGCTGCCTGCCCAGCGTGAGGCTGTGTGAGATGTGAGCTCAGGCAGTGCCCAGCCTGCCTGCAGTGAGCCTCCTGCTGCTCTCCCTGACCCTCTCTGCTTGTGTGCTTTGCAGGAGCGCTCACTGACAGGGTACCTTGCATGGAGAAAGGGAGCAGAGCAAACCACGTCACTCCACCGAATGACACCAGCTGGTCCGCTCACCACCCCCTCTGGCTGAAAGTCCAGCAAAGAAAGCAGCTTCCTGGCATGAAGCCCCCGAGGAAGTCTCGGTCCCACGGGTGCCTTTGACCCAGAAGACAGCACATCATAGATCCACACAGTGTGCTCAGCATTCCTGCGACCACCCCTCTTCTCCTCTCGGAACGCTTTTTCCTCTTCGTTTCTTGCTGGGGGGATTTTTCACCCGGGTTTCAAAAACCACATGGACCAACATAGGTACTTTTCCCTCACTGACTTCGAAGTTCAGATGTTTGAGACTGGACAATGATACGGATTTTTTTTAAATTTTTTTTTTCCTTTGAAAAACTGCTGTGGTTTTGCTGCTACACTAAGAATCGTGATTTGCATTGTATGGTTTTGGACCTATTCAAGTTTTGATGGGGGAAAGGGGTAATACTGGAGTAGCAACGCTTCAGAGTCATCTCTGTCCTACCCATGATGCACTTTTAAATGAAGAGTTAGAATATTTTATTGGCTAATATACTTTCCTTGTTATTTTTACAAAGGCCACCTTTATCCTTTCTAATGCCATATTTTCAGTGTTACACTTTTATGGCTTTTAATTTTTGATTTGACAGATGTAAGAAGCAGCATGAATAGTTTATACTGTGGTTTTTCAGAGACTGAATGCCAAGAGAACTCAGTAAATGTTTATTCTTCTCAGCTTTCTCTTTAAATTCCCCTAAATAGCGCCCCATTTGGGAACAGAGCAAGAGTGTTGAACTAAAGACCAAAATTCCCTCAAGGTGTAAAATAATCTGAGGGGAATATTTGCTGGGCGTCACGAAAGACTTGGATGAAATTTCAACCCTGATGGTTTTCAGTGATCCAGGAAGGCAGTGAGACAATCTCTCCATATGCATAGCCCTTTCATGATAATTAGAATGGTATGGACAAACCAATGAAAACAAGGGTAAAGTGAGAAAGATCCCCCATGATTCTGTTTCACTGTTTGCTTTCTCCTGTCATGGTTAAGAGAAATGTGCAATTTGATCCTCAATCAGTGGGTGGAGGATAACAGGGTAGAATTTACTTGTGTGCACTTGTACAGTTGTAGCCAAGAGTCCAAAAGTACACTAGAGCATGTTATACTGGCACTGAATTGGTAAGAGAGTTGTGGAGTATCCCATTCTGACAAATAAAAAAGAAAAAAAAAAGAAAAGAAAAAAAAATACAAAAACCCTTAAAAACCCCACAAAAAATCAAAAAGAAAGAAAAAAAACTAAAAAAAAAATTCAGATCACCTTGTGATTCAGTGTAACTGTTTACTAACTCGAATAAAGCAATTGTTCACTCTTGAGTGTTCAGAGTACACCTTTTCTATAAGGCTGCTGCGGGGAAGAGAGGAGCAGTTTGCAGGAGCAGAGTCTCTGTGTCAGCGGTGTTGGGAGCAGGGCAGCAGAGCCAGTTGAACCAGAGCCTTGTAGTGATGGTGCACTATGAGCACTATGTATATACTGTATTTCTATATTTTCCTTTGTACAGATTCACTTAAGTCAAGCTACTGTTTTACAGGTGCTCCTTATTTATTAGAGCTGTGAAAGCTTGGAAATCACACCGGGCGAGTAAGCTCGCTTTTTAAAAAAACAAACAAACAAATGAAAAAAAAAAACAGCAACAAAAAAAAAGGGTGGGGGGGGGGGAATCCAACAACTCCTGAGTCTAGGGAGAGAGCTCAAAGACATTTTGAACATCTTCAAGAGAGCAAGAATCTGAAGCACCCTCAGCGTGCTCTGCTTTCCTTTCGGTCTTGCAACGCTTTTCTCTCTCCCTGACTGGTGTCAGATTTATTAAAACAAAATAAATCTCCAAGAAAAAAAATGCACTTCAACATGCTGTTGTTTTCTTTTTCTTTTTTTTTTTTTACCCTCTTTGTGCATGCAGTTATTCATTCCTATACCTGCCTGGTCACAGACAAGAAGACCCCTGAGTCTAAAGGGACAGAAAAATATGTGTAAGTTGTTCTTGAAAGATGTATCTATCTCCCTTCTTTCTTCATGCCTCCCTTGACACTTCTCAGTTTCTGCAGCGTTTAAGTCTTGGGGAGAAAAAACTCTGCACTTAGCATAGTGCAGAGTTAGGTCCTGATCTTGGAGAAGATCCCTGGATAGATGCAGTGGCTGCAGCTTCATTGACTTTGAGAGGATCTGTGCAAGCACACTTTTCTCATGCAGCCTCTGGGGCAGTGTACAGGCAGTATTCTGCCTGCCTTTTGTGAGGATGGGGCTTTTCTCTGCATGAACTCCCCCTGAAATCAGAGGTTCTTCAAAGGACCAACCTCCTCCCAAGTGCCCCCAAACCTCTGCCACAGCTATCTCACACAACAGTGTTTGCTTCCCAGCTCTTGGCCAGCGCTGCTGATGGAGGGCTTGGAAATGTCCGGTGAGCTCTGGAACTATTTGACTGATTTCATTAACCAGCCATGTAAGGCAAACAACAACAGCCTAAGCACGCCTGCTTGGAAGGGCATGTGGAGTAAAGCTTGTCTCCCTAGTAAACAGCTTGCTGCATCTCTATTTATTCATCTGAACTTGGCTGTAAAACGAAGGCCGTGTGTATTGATTTTGCTTTTGTCAGTGGTCCAGAATTGTTAGCACACATTTTCACTGTTCTGAAAAACAACAGACTCTTTAGAGAAATCTTTCTCTCTGGTGAACTGGTTTTCTTTTCCAGAAATGGAATCAGCTTGTCAAAAATCATCAGGACAGCAGAGGTAGAGAAAGTGATCTAGGCTAGAGCTGGCTTCACATTTCCAGTGATCACAAATTTCCCTTAGCTTTCCTGAGAATTTGCTCACCTTATACCTTCTTGACATCTTACCCCAAAATTCAGAATGTGAACAACTGCTTTGAGCAGCTGAATCAGTTCATTGTTTGCTATTGAAAAAATATCTCCAGCTGCATATATGGGGAGAAATATCCAAGTATACATAAACCTTGAGGAAAATGCAGACCAAATGGTACAATACATTATTCAAGAGAAACCTGCTTCATTTCTGAGGCCAAATCCATCCCTTGTAGGATGCCAACAAAATGAATGGAATTACACAAAGGATGTAGAGGTCCTTTGCAATTAATGAGAACCCAGCAAACACTTGCAGATCGGTGCTCTCCTGCTGCTGACATTATTTATTAAGCACTAAGACCTAACAGCCAAGCTGAGCTCTTTCCTGGGGAACTTGCCATCAAGGAGCCAGACAAAGAAAATCCTGTGCACTAGGAGATACAGGGGAAGGTCCCTGCGTGCAGCAGCCATGGCTCCAGCTCGTACATGCGGGTTTGGGATGCAGAGACTGTCTCCATCAGCAGGGCGAGGCGGTTTTGCCTCGGGTCTCAGAGCAGCTGGCCGTGCGTGCATCCCTTCACACTGCCGGGGCAGAGCGGGAGTTTGCTGTGATCAAACTGCATGGGCCCTTCTGCTAGCACTGAATTCTTGCTGTCAGCGAGAATTTTGCCCTTGTGATAAAAGGGGGTCTGTGTACTGCAAGCACTCTGCATTAATTTCCTCCCCCGTTGTCTTAGATGATTTTGAGAGCTTTATTTTTTTCAGAACTACTACACATGACAGTTTTTGAGTGGTCCGATTCTGTGAATAAGGATGTCCCTCAAAATGAAAACAATTTGTGCTTTTTCCGAGCTAAATTATAGAAGTAAATTTGCTTTGTTCAAATAAATGCTGTGAGCCAAATCTGCAAGGATGCTTATCCAAGTGAGATATCCCATTCTGAGGTCCATATTTGGACACTCAAATCAACACTCAGCCAAACACATGCATGAGGCATTTCAATGCCATTTGGAGTGTCCATATATAGAACTGGATGCCCAAACTTCATTGCCTTTGTTTTAAAAATAGACCTGGAATATAAAGACATCATTTAATAACAGCTATGACAAACATTCTGTGTGCAAACTAAGAGCAAATTTGCTGATGCTGGTTCAGGTTGATTCCCCTGGAATTGCTCTGGATTTACAGAGGCGTAACTCAGAAAAGAAGCAGTCTCTTAAGTTGTTTTGCCTTCCACTCTCACTGGAAGTTGACTTGATATTTGGGATCTGTGAGTAAGGAAAGGTGGTGCTCAGTATCCACACATGTGTGCGGCAGAGGGAGAGAGAACCCAGAATTGAGTTGAACCTGCTTCACACTGAACAGCTGAAATGTTTTTAAATAGGGAGAACAGCTTTTAATAGACTTCCACATATTTTAGTTGTCATTTATGTGGTATTGAGCAAAGAAATGCATTGCTACCTTGAGCAATACTGGGACATTTTGCACAAAACATGGGAGGCACCAGCAAAACACAGAGAGCTGTGAAAAAGCACAGCAGAATTGCAGCTTCTGGCTGTTTGCTTCCAGGGATGGTGAGAGCATGGCTCCTCAGAGGCACAGTGGATGCTGACTGCAGGCTACTGCAGCCCCCTCAAGGGGTGCAGGATATCTGATACAGGGGTGCCCCTCAGCCTGACATGTTGATCAGCCAAGACCTGCTGGGACCTGAAGTTCTGTGACAATGTGAAGAACTGGCCTGGCCACAAGGAAGAAGCAAATAGTAATTTAGGCCACTGACACTCTTTTTTTCTCCAAGCTGTTCCCTGGTCTCTAAATCACCTATCTGCTGGAGCAGGTGTGTCCCAGCTCTTCACCCACTGCCCTACTGAAATAAGTTTTCCAAGGATACTCAAGACGCAGAGAGGCAGCCAAATGCCAAATGCCCAGGACCTTCCTCACAAATGATGCAAACATCTAAAAGTTGTGTGTCCCTACATCAGTAGTCCAGGCACTTGACAGTCACCAGTGAAGGGGCAGCCTCACCTGCTCCCTCTTGGAGCTCTGTGGCATCTGAGCAGCCCACGCTCGCTGCCGGTGGAATCCTGCCCCAGGTGGGAAGGAAAGTTTGTTAGGTTGTTATTTGCTGATAAAATAGCTGAGGACAGAGATGTGTTGTGATTCTCAGCTCTCAGCAGGCCTGCTTTTGAAGGAGCTCGCTGGACCTATTCAGTAAAAGAAAAAGTCTTGAGGAAGAGGGAATGCTGCCTTCTTTTCCAGAAAAGTGTCGTACTCTGGGGGTTTGCTGAGGAACCAGGAGACTCAGCCTCACTCCCCTTCCTCAGCTGAAGGAATCAAGCCCACACAGGCACATGTAAAACAAATTGTTGAGAGAGGCTGTTATTCCTTCCCATGTCCCAAGCCAGAATCCACGTGATACAACCTGTCCTGGCTGGTCTACGGGGGCACAAGTTATGCCAAGAAAGGCAGGAGAGGTTCTCTTCATTTTGCAGGGAAGAGATGCAAAGATGACATCCACAGTGCCAGGAAGAGGAAGCACAGTCCTCCAGTTAGTGCTTGAGGCTCTCTCCTGGAACAAGGCCATCTGCTCCTCCTCCCAAAAAGGGCTTTAGAGTTGCTGCATTTACAATGGGCCAATAAAAAGCCCACTTCTGAAGCAGAGGAAGCCTCCCCCAAGCCAGCTCCAGGAGCTCCCTTCAGCATGCTGCAGCCCCTCTGTCCTCCACGCTTCCTGGGCCCCCAGCACAGCAGGACAGGGAGGGCAGGCAGCCAAAGAGCTCCCTGGGGCAGCAGCACTGGCAGCATCACCCAGGCAGCTTTGGAGCAGGGGAGTGTGCCAGGCTGGCAGGGCTGCCTGACCCATCTGCCCCACGTGTGCTGGGTGACGCTGGCCCTTCACATCACCTGCCCTCTCCTGAGAGCCTCAGCACAGAGATGTGCTTTCTCATTCTGATTGACTTACTGCATCCCAGTTGCTATCATGGTCTTTGGCATGACAGGCCTTATGTGAAACGTAGTGTTTGGGACACACACACACACAGGACTCGGGAGCAGCCCGCTGTACAACTCCCAGGTATCTCCCAAAACACACGGCTGAGCAGAAGCCCGAGTACTGAAGCACGGCTGGATGCTGGGGAAAGCTCCCTGCTGCCTGCATAACCTCAGTAGAGCTCCAGCAGGATGATTTATGGGCAGGGTCAGGTAGAGGAGCTGACACAGACGGGTCAGAGAGGATGGGTGCCAGCCCACAGGCTTATTGTCGGTCGACATCTAGGGAATGAGGTGGGAAGAGGGGGGAGCATGAGTTGAATTCCTTAATAACGTGAATTATAAAATCATTTCCTGTGTTAGGGGTTAGGAAAGAGAGCACAGGACCCGGAGATCTTCCAAACAGAAAACAGCTTTTGTTAAGGCTTTTGGCCTAAGGAGTTTGAGGAGGACTGGGGGGGCGGTGGGAAGGGAAAGTGCTGGCACATTTTTGGCTGGAAGCCTCAGACAACATATTTTTTATTCTAGTCTTTATTTTTCAAAATAAAATTATGGCAAAGCAGAAACAAAGACGGGGGAAGAGGGTGAAATTAGGAGGAACAGTACCCAAGTATATCCTACTTCTTTCTGTCCCTGCCATTAAACACACAGGGTGTCCTTTATTATATACAGTAGCGGGATTAAGTCAGCAGCCCAAAGGCTAGGAATGCAACAAGATACTTCTATACTTATTGATCCTTTTTGGTTTTTTAGGGAGATTGTTTTCATGAAAGTTTAATTCACCTTTTCTAGCTTTTGAGTCTAACTGCCACACATTTTATCCTGCTTCTTTGTGAAATGCT